TATATCATATACCCAGTAAAGAAAAAAAAATAAATGTCACTCTGGTTTGTCTCTAGTGGCCAGTCTAGTGCCCAATGGCCAGTCCTCACAAAGCTTTTAGCAATCTCTCTTTTCGTTATAACTACTGCTTCTCCATTTGTACCAGAGACTGCTATCTTTGAGCCTGTTCAATATCCAATGCTGCTGTTTTTTTTTTATATCTTCAACTTTTTATTATGAATTTTTTCAAACAACCAGAAGAGTTGAAACACTAGTACGATGAAAACTGTAATTCATACCGCACAGATTTAACAATCTTCTGCTATTTTTGTTTTATATCTTTCCCTATATGAATACACACACATTTATTTTCTGAAATAAATTTCAGATAGCATTAATACTTTCACCCTTAAATTCTTCAAAATGACGGCCGCCTGTTCCGTAAGTATAATACCATTAACGTGCCTAAGAAAATCAACATCCTTGCTAGCATCTAATATTCAGTCCATATTCAGATTTCCGCATGTATGCCAAGGATGTCTTTTTGAGCTCTTGTTTTTCTCTAAAGAATTCAACCTAAGCTCATACATTGTATGTGCTGCCATCTTTTCAGTTTCTCTAGCAAATAGTTTCCTCCACATACCCATCTTTTTTTTTTTTTATGACATTCTTTTTTTAAAAAAAAAAAAGTCTAGGCCATTTTATCCATAGAATGTTCCATATTCTGAATTTGCTTAATTGCTTCCTCATTGTGGAGTGTAAAATGTCCCCATATCTCTTGTATTTTCTATAAACTGAAATTTAGGTCTACAGCTTGATTAGTCAGGAAAATATTTCGACAAGAATAGGTCATCAGTGACATTGTATACTTCATGTTGAATCACATCAGGATTGACCAAATGTGAGGTTGGCTACTGTTTAATCCCCCGGTTAAGGTGTTTACAACCAGCTCTCTCTACGATAAGTCATTTGGGAGGTCGTTTTACACTTTTCTTAACTCTATTTGTCCTTCCTTCACTGCGTTGGTTCTTAACCTATTGCTTACCTCAAAGAAGTTATTTTATTTCCCTGAAACATTTTCCCCCCATCTCCTAACTAAAAACAAACACAAGGTTATTGTAAGGGCTCAGTGAAGTAAAGGATGTGAAACAGTTTTGTAAACTGCAGAGTGTTTTGTAATTGTGAGCTATCCTTATTCCTGTAAAGAAATAGTTTCAGATGAAGCTCTGAGTAGCCTACTCATTCAGGGGAAGCAATGGTGTTCTGGTATCTGCTCAACAACCAGCCCTCCAAATAGAAAAGCCCTGCTGTTTAAATTTTGCCAGTTTCTGTGGTGTTAATACTCCTACCCTGGCCAATTTCAAGCTACCAACTTGATGTCAACTAGGCTGCAAAATTCCAGAAAACTGAATAATCGTCTCTTTCGAGCGTGGACAAGTCAGTTCCACACACCACTGAGGGGACGATTGCAGAGGTAGGACTGCCAGATTCAGCAAATAAAAATACAGCCAATATTTGGGATATATGTATACTAAACAATTTTTTGTTGTATACCTGAATTCAAATTTAATCAGGTGTCCTGTATTTTATTTGGCAAACCCATGTGGTGGGCATGTGTGTATGCTTGCTTTCATGGGTTGTGTGTGTGTGTTGGGGTATAAGCGAGGCACCTAAAAGGACAGATTTCCATATTCACCCTCCTCCCCCAACAACCTCAACCACAGGGTTCTTCATGCATTTGGTGTGTCTGCATTTTTTTCTTCCCTTCTTTTCTTCATTTTCTTGGTTTTTTGTCAGAGAAATGCTATGCCAGAATTTCCTCAATTTATATTTGGCCTTAATACTAAGTCTTCAGGACAAAAAGGAGATTTTGAGGACAATTAAGAAGTTTATCTAAGTAATAAGATGAACAATTTTTTTAAATTCTAAATTGTTCCAAGAGGATTTCTACTTTGGCCAAACTCAACTCCAGCACTTTTGAAAACATATGCAAGTTAACAAAAGTCAATCATTATAAAAAATCTAGAAATGAGAATTTTCCTTAGTACATAAGAAAATGGTTAATATGAACTCTGGTAGTTTACAATAGCCCCCTTACAGATAGGCTTTATTGGCAATATTTAGGTGAAGCAGTTCATTTTAAGATTATGCACATGTAAAATAAGCCGAAGACCTGTGTATGTCTCCGATTGCCACACTGAGTGAGGTAGGATATACTCTGCCCAGATATTTATATTAAAGAATATATATGAAATATATTTATCTTTATGGGGGGAAGAATAGGAAGAAAAATTACTTTTGCTGTTGTTTTTGTGGTCTGAATGGGCTCATTCCCCCCAAGAAAACATGCATTTGATTATGTGGTTTACTAAGGCATTTGTATTAGTTTACTAGTCCTTGGTTACAAGACACCACAGACCAGGGGGCTTAAACAGTAGATCTATTTGCTCACAGTCCCGGGGACTAGAGAGCCAAGATGAAGGTGTCAGCAGGTGTGCTTTCTTCTGGGCCCCTCTCCTTGGCTTGCAGAGGGCCACCTTCTCCCTGTGGACTCTGTGAGTTCCCATCTGGTGTCTCTCTGTGTGCCCTAATCTCTTCTTCTAAGGACACCAGCCATAGTGGATTAGGGTCCACTTAACTTCATTTTATTTTTTTATTTTTTAAAGATTTTATTTATTTATTTGAGAGAGAAAGAGTGAGAGAGAGAGGGAGAGCATGAGCAGGAGGAGGGGCAGAGGGAGAAGCAAACTCCCCACTGAGCAGCGAGTCTGACATGGGGCTCCATCCCAGGATCCCTAGGATCATGACCTGAGCTGAAGGCAGACGCTTAACCGACTGAGCCATCCAGGCGCCCCACTTAACTTCATTTTAATTAGTGGCTTCATTTTAACTTAATCACTTGTTTAAAGGCCCTATCTCCAAACATAGTCACATTCTGGAGTACCGGGGGTTAGGACCTCACAGTATGAATTTTGTGTGTGGGGGGGGGGCAGGGGGGGGCACACTATTCAGTCCATAACAGCATGCTTCCCTATAGTTATTCTAAGGAGATTAGAGGTTTTTTTCTAATTCTTTCTTCCCAGGGAAAGAGTCAACAATTCAACAATTTTAGTCAACACACAGCCCAGATGACACAAAGACCTCCAGTCACTTCCTGCCTTGCTCAAAAAACGGAGTCTATCATGCCCTAGAAGGCTCGACTCCGCCTGCCCTCCTCAACCCCCTCACCTCTTTGAGTCTGCGTCCCCTGCTCTCACCTGGTCTCTCTACTCCAGCGCTTGGGCCACTATGCAGGCCTCCCAGCTGAGGATCTGTGCACTGACACTCCCTCTGTGTGCAGTGTGCCCGCCCCCCACCCCATTCAGTTCTTCCTCACTGAACTGTTACCTCCTCCTGAGAAGAGCCCTCGCCAACTCTCTCAGAGATAGTCCCCTATCCTCGCCTTCCCTGCTTTATTTTTTTAATCAATATATTTAATATTTTACTTGCTGGTCCTAATATCTGTCCCCCCACAAGCACACATACTCGATCTCTGTCTTATTAACCACTGCAGCCCTTCCTTGTGGAACACTGCCTGGCAAGGGGCAAGCACTGTGTATGAAATGAACGAAAGAAACGTTGAGGTTAGGTCTGGATTTATCTTCTTCCAAGTTCTCTTGTTCTTACTCTGGGGGGAAGGAATACAAGCAGTGGTCAGGAGCACAAGCCTTGGAGGCAGAGAGAATTAGTCAGGGACGGTCTACACCACCTGCCAAGGGCTGGTCTTGGGCTAGAGTCATCTGTATGAGCCTGAGGCAACTCAGAGAAAGTGAAATTAATTACCTTCTGAAAGGGGTGGTGAGGTGAAGTAGGTAAAATGGTCAGGCGGGCGATTAACATTCTGCGGTTCCAAATTCAAGTCTGGGCTCAGAGAGAGTGTTACAACCCATGAATGGGGACTGCTCTGGAAAGAGGGGGGTGGGGCTCTCATAAATGCTGCATGATGCCTGCGTTCAAATAGACCCTCTGTTTATGGTCCAGGGGGTCATGTCGTGCCCCCCCCCCGCTCCGCTTTCCCCCTTCATTACAGAGAGTACATCTCTGAAACCAGTTATCACAGAAAGTTACCACAACTTAGGAAGCTTCTTTGAGTTTTAAAGCTGAAAAGCTAGAAAAAAAAAATCAAGAATGATTCGTTGCTAGCTTTAATATCTTATCTTTGTTTTTTGTCACAAATATTTTGTTTTATAGTCCATTTTTTCCCTGCACTTTCAAAAGTTTCTTAGAGAACTGTATGAGTTGTAAGGGATCTTTAAATAATTTGGCTCAAGTAGTCCCCTCCTTATCCACAGCGGACGGGATCCAAGACCCCCGCGGATGCCTGAAACCGCAGATAATAGGGGGCCCTGTAGATGCTGTTTTCTCCCACACGGCCACCCAGAGGAGAAAGTGTGATTTATCAATCAGGCACGGTAAGAGATTCACAACAATAACTAATAATACAACAATATACCGGAATAGAAGTGATGGAGTGTGGTCCCTCCCTCCCTCTCAAAGTGTCTCCCAGCACCGCGCTCAGGCTTCTCCATGAAGACGGGACATGATAAAATGCCCACGTGGGAAGGTGAGGTGAGGTACGTGGGCATTTGAGGTAGGGATAGGCTACTACTGACCTCTGCCATGACGTGAAAGGCGCAGGCCATGTGAAGCAGCCATGGGATGCTACTGAGTTCTGTCCTGAGGTGAATGAGGTAGGCATGGTGACACAGGCTAGGCTACTGAGGACCTCTCAGGTGAGGTGAGCGACTCAGGATAGGCTACTGCGGACCTCTGACGTGAGGTGAATGACAGAGGCTACTGCGGACCTCTGAGGTGAGGTGGGGGACGTAAGCGTGGAGACGCAGGCGGGGGACGCAGGCTACACCACCACTGACCTCTGACGTGAGGTGAGTGACGTAGGCGTGGGACGCGGGCTACACTACCGCTGACCTCTGACGTGAGGTCGGAAGGAGGTCCGCGGGCTTCCACACCCCACACCAGGATCTGGGAGAGCTGAAGGCTCCACGGACTGAAAGCACAGACCGGGAAACCATTGAGGGGCCGGGACTGCCCGCTGTCCTCCGTTCTTAGGAGTGCCAGAGAGCGTCCCAGACTGAGCCTGCTGCAGACCCCCACGGCTGAGGAAGAGCCTGGAGGCAGAGCTGAGAGGCGGGGACTAGGCACTGCCTGCCACGCGCCTGGGGCAGGTAGGTGTTCTTTGTTGAGGAAACTGAGGCTGGGCCGCAGCGGGGGGAAGTGCAAGATGGCAGAGCCTCCTGCCTTCCAGGGGACGTCTTTATGTCACACTGTTGCCAGTCGGCCCTGTGGAGCGCTGCGAGCGGCTGAGGGCTCCCCCAGGCAAGGAGCCTTGCTGCTCAGCGCGCCCGGGGAGTGAGGGGCAGGTAGGGGCTAAGCGGGGCTTCCAGAAGGTTCCTCAGGATGTAAACCGACTCGCCTTCTTGAGACCACATTCGAATTTAGAAGCTAACCAGCTGCCACCGTCTATTTTGAGAGAACACAACTCACAGGGGACGCACCGGCTCCACTCACAGCGCCGAGGACGGAAGCACCATTCTCGGAGGCTTTTATACTTCCTCTGAATGAGGAAGTGCTTATAATCTCACCTCTTAAATGACATTTTAGGGCCTCACAAACCACGGCAAAGGAAGGGACGGAGTCAGCACTAATTTCATAAACTATCTGTAAGGGAATTAATTGCAACCTGCCTGATTTTTCTTTCAGAAAGAAGTTGTAAAGGAATCCCATAAATTTTTGAAGGAGGAATAAATTCTTTCACAAAAGGGGTGAGAACTGTAGTAAAGTGTTAAAATAGCACAAATTAAAGTTGACTGGAATCTCCTGTAAAATCGAACCAAGCCAAAGGGTAGTAAATATCACCCTGAAGAAAAAAAATCACTGTCTTTCCAGCAATAAAACGGATTAAAATATTACATTTAAATGTACACTGGGAAAGGCGTTCTGAGTCAAGATACACAAAAATTATATATATCAAGCGACAGTATTTTGGGTTGAGTTTAATGTGTTTTCGCAAACTTAACTCTCAAAAGGGAAACAATATTCTTTTTTGTTTTTTTTTTTCCCTAAATAAGCTGATGCATCCTGAAAAATATAGCTACATCAAGATTTTACCTCAAAAGTAGGGTCACCTTAACCGGAGACCATATGAAATAGAAAATAGTTTTTAATATTTTTGGTGTCAGTATATAAATAGGGCCATGTGAATATAGAACTAGTGTCATTTCTCAACTTTTCCTATGAGGCTTCCCTGTATCATATTTTTCTCTCAACTTCTCAGTTATGTCTTTTCTACATAATCACTGAGTCGTTAGGAAAACAAAGTAACTTTGACTCTATCCAAGGATAATTATCATCTTCACATCTCCATTGCCAAGAGTTGCACCATGCTTCTAGCAGTTTCACTCAGATGTACTTGTCAATTGGAAATCTTTACAAAATTGAAGCTGCAGAAGTGATATTTATAATGCATTCTTAAATCCGGTTGCTTCGAGATCAGTTGTTTTGTTCGTATTTAGGGCAGTCTTCTCTCTGCGTTTTGTGAACAGTTAAGATTCAATTAAATCTTAATGAAACGTTGATAATCTAATCCTCACTGTAATATAGATACCAGGAGCATTCTTTGGGATCATAAACCTGAATATGAGCCTTACCTCTGCCACTAATGAGCACGTTACTCTATTTCTCTGCATCTCAGTGTCCCCATCTATAAAATGGGGACAAGACATGTATTCATAAAGATGTTGAAAAAAAATTACATTAGTTAATGCGTGTGAAGCATTTGCAGCAATAGTGAAAAATAGAAAAATGCTAATGTTTACTGTGGCAGTGGTTATGAATATTATTTTCTGTATACCAATAACTGATTTGGATAAGTCAGTAATATCTTTAGGCCCCAACAATCTCATTTTAACAAGATATAGTGGTTGGGCTAAGTTGTCAGTAATGCCCTTTCTAGCCCTAAAAGCTAATAATTCTATGATTGTAAGGCAAGTTATATATGGTCTGTTACATAATTTCTCTTCAGTTATCTGCACAGGGTACCCTCCCCACTATTAAAAATAGCGATAGAAGTGATCTAAAATAGTGGAAAGTGCATTCAGAGAATTTAGAGGGAGATGTGCATGGCTTAGACTCAAGCTGGGTAGTAGCTAGCTTTGTCATTTTGTCAAGTTATATGGACGTGGCATATGATTCTCTATTACAGGTGCACTGGAAGAAGTGCCAGCTTATTATCAAACAAAAAGTGAACAACATAATGATTTTAACAGCTTTCACAGACTTTTCATGGGGTTCCAGGAATCCTTGTATGCAACAAATTTGTATATACTCTAGCACATTGGGGGCTAAGGTCAGCACATACAATGTTACTAATTAGGTTTAAAGTACAAGAGCTAATGCAAATGATCAGTTTTACCACATTCCTCCCAGAAAAACGTCTCATTCCCTTCAAACTTAATAAGGGAAGAGAAAAAGAGATGTCCCAGAGAGTCTTTCAGCACTTGGAGAAAAATACAAGGCACAAGTTATGTAACCTTCAGCAAGCTCTTTGGCTAAGTTTACAACATTTGGTAAAACCTCTGATTTGCATGTGCTTTCTTTGGATTTTTAAGTCTGTCCAGTTTTGCCTGGTTTTGGAGCATCATCTTTGGAGGGATGTCAAACAGTTCTTTTGAAATTCTGACTAGTTCCACCAACCGACTCTGATGGGTTGGACCTGTACTTTCACACCTACCTTCGTTTTTCAAATAAAACGCCCTAGTGAAAGCTGTAAGGATTTATGATGAGTGAACTAAAGATTTTCTTTCTCTGTTTTCTTTGACCCAACGTTTGCGAGCACTAAGTGATGTGGTTAGCTGTGAGTGTGGGTTGGCATCCATAAAAATATTTTATACCCTAATCTAACTGTGGTATGATAGAACCCTCAGTGAAATGTATTTTGGCAACATTGTTATTTTTGTAGTGTTTAGTATTGTTTATTGTAGCCTGCTCTTTTGGTCAATTTTTTATATTTATGTCTTTGTGTCCTGTGATGACTTAAACGTATATATCTTCCTTTGAGATTGCCAAGAGTTGTGCACTGAAGAGGTATTTACTGATAATTCATTCATTAATAAAATAGAGTTCTTTCATAAACTCTCCTGGACAAACTGATGAAAGTAAAAAACTCTTTTTCTCTGAATATAAAATAAAACGGCATTCATTTGTGTTTAGATAGACCGAAAAAACCCTGGGTATTTCATTCCATCTTAAACCTGTTTCCTTATAGTACCTATTTTATTTAAAACAATTGAGTACTTAGAGAAGTGAAGTAAACCTATACTCTTTATAGGTCAATTAGTCCATTATAACTTTTTGTAAAATCTTATAATTACCTCAGTCATATTAATTTATCTGGATAAACATACATCTTTAATAGCTAAAAGTATTCTTAAAGATAGATATTATAATACTGAGTTTTTCAGATTTGTGCATTGTTACTTTGAAATCTAAAAGTATATTGGATGTATTGTTAACAGTATTCACAGTATCCTATTCAAGTGTGTTCTTGAATAAGATCTTATAGTACTTGGTGTCCATATGTCATAATGGATCAGTACAAAATAAGAGTGATTTATCCAAATGTACTACTAGCTTGGGAGTGACAAAATAATATTTTATAAATATATTCTGCATAGAATTTTTAAAATAAATGCAGATCATTTCAATAAGCCCAATACGTTTTTATTGATCCTTTTCCCATGCAAATGTTTTTGAGGAGCTTCCTGTTTATCTTTGGGACTGCAGTGTATGGCAAGTCTGTCCTGGAGTGTCTGGAAAGTTCATCATGCTCTAGATCCCCATGTTTCCATCTGTCTGAACAAAAGTAGCCTGTCCTCTGTCCCATTCCCTTAGTCACCCGTCCTGCTAAAGTCATTATGGGTGCCACATTATACTCATAAATAACCCATTTTTACATATTTTTGAAGTTAATGCTTTCATGTAAGAAGTGGGAAGAAGTTTCAGACTTTTTTCAGGTCAGTTGAAAAGAGAGCTTTGAGCAGGTAAGCTGGTTTATTATTTTTTTAGTCATATTCTATTATGCTGCTACTTGCCATTTATTACGCATTGATCTACTCTGGAGAGAACTGACGTAAATATGTGTAGAGGGTAGGATAATTTTCCAGGATTTCTTGGCCACTCTGCCCAACTAATGGATGTTTGAATAACAGAAGAGACACATCACATGGTGTTTGGACTTGGCCCATGTTTGTACAAGGGTTTCTGTGTTTCAGGGAGGAAAAGAATGATGTATACATGGCTGGCACTTTAAAGAAACACCAGCCTGTCTAGCCAGTCATTAGTGAGGTATGCCGTTGAATTAGTGGAAGACTTCCAGGTATGCACTGGCCTGTCCTTGGGTAAGCAATAAATCAAGCCCTAACCCTAGGCCAGGCAGTGCCCAGACAGCAAGAAGGTACTGCATGTTATCTTCTCCATAGGATCTGATTTGTATACAAATTTAAAAAGACGTATACAGAGGTAACTAATTTCAGTCTTTCTTTTTCTTTTTTTTTAATGTTTCTAAATTTAAAAAAATATGTATTTTTTTAATTTCAGTCTTTCTGAAATTTTGAGAGGATAAGGGTATATTTTAAAAAATGAAAAAACAAAACTGAACTTGAAAAGCAAGTAGGACATTAGGAACAAAGAAAGCCCTGCAAAGTAGCACAGGCTTAGTTATTACAGATCTCACATTCTGTTTTAGGCTCCACCACTGTGATGATGCAAATGTATCCGTGAATATTCAGCACCCCACTTTCTCTGTAATTCTCCTCCTCCTACCTCAGAGCAGCTTTTCCTTCTTCCTGTGTTTTTAAGGCCATTGCTCTCAAATAGCTAAATGTTGTCTTAAAATAGTTCTCATCTTAGCAGACTGGTTGTTGAAATAATTAAGTGTTGTCCAGACAAAGACAATCAAAATGTATAGGAATCATCTCTGATCCTGGGATTCAGTCTCTGGTTTAAACACATCAGGCTGTGCTTAGAAAGGAAAGGGCTTTCTGAAGAGTTTCTAAGTTTATATTAAAGATTTAAAAACTACACTGGCAAGTACACAAAATTCAACACATTCCAGTTTTTGTTTTCACCTTGTACAGTCCCACATGGCATTGCTCATCACATCACCCTT